ACTTTTAACACTAATACCGAAACCCCGGTCTGACAGGCCCACGGGAATTTTCAAAAACGCATGTTGGCAACACTGTTTACTTGGTAGATTCCATTCCCCCAATACCTTCCCCCCTTTTCCTCCCCTACCTATTGATATATCTTTTGTTCATTTTGCATGGGTGCCGTGACCTTGACAGGTCGTCTGTTCATAACATGTCCGTCTCAGAAGCCCAACGTTAGTGTATTTTAAAGCGGGGTCTCACAGACCGAGGGTTTCTGTTTGTGTGTTTCTAAGCAAAGTCCATTATTTTTCAAATGGGGTCTCACAGACCGGGGGTTTCGGTTAACGTCAGCCTATGTGGGGTTTCGGTATTAGTGTTAAGAAATCACTGAAACTTCTAACTACTTCTTCATACTGAAGATTATTCTCATTAAAAATACCAAAAGTACAGAAAAGATCCTCACCTTTGTCGCTTAGAGTGTACAAGAGCATACTAATTTGTTGACTATCAGGCTTGAAGCAGAGCTCTGAAGCAATCCTTTACCTCTTAAACCTTTTCATCCAACGAGGCCATAAGGCAGGATTTTGAAAATCAAAAGGGTGGAGAAATTTAAATCTGTATACCTGAAACTGTAGTAACCCTCGAAGCTTCAGTTGAGGTTTTACCTCTTACACCGTTCTTTGAACAAACCTGATTCCTAGGCTTGGACTCGTCTTCACTTGATTCAAGATCAAATTCGTTTTGTAAGTAATCTCTTTTCTTCAAATTTCTTTCAGATTTTCTTTTATTTCGGCTTCCTATATTTCTTCCAACCTGACACCATATGAAGAAAGTATTTAATTAATCAAAATCCAAATATTTTTGGAACAGTATTTTATCTAATAATTTCAACAACTCATCTCAAAACAAAAGGTAAATAATAATAATAAACTAGCTGACCCGGTGAACTTCGTATCGCCTAAGTTATAGGTTTCCCCTAAGACAGACCGATGGAAAGAAAGTACCGTTACGTTTAATTTTCAAGATGATCTCGTTCGCATCGCTCAATCACGTCCTGGTTGAAGTTCGTTCGCTACGCTCACTCACCTTTGGGTTGGAGCTCGTTCGCTACGCTCACTCACCTTTAGGTTGGAGCTCGTTCGCTGCGCTCACTTGCCTTCAGGTTAGCTCGTTCGCTACGCTCACTCGCCTCCAGGTTGAAGTTCGTTCGCTACGCTCACTCTCCTTTTGGTTGCAAATTAGCTGTTGTCATAAATGTAAAAGAAATAATAGTGCTGCACCCTGTTGGTAATCCTTGTAACTTTAATGCTATTGAACATCATAGAACAGAACCAACTTGTTTAATTGAAACAGCTGTTAAGATTCATTAATTCCATTTCTCATAAGGTTAACATGGGAAACTCCAGAGCCACTGGGGCGGAGCCCTTTTAGGAATTTCGAAACGGGAAATAGTTTACGTCCGATTCGCATACCTACAGAATTTACACACCAAATTTCATAACGATCGGTGAAGTCGTTCCGGAGGAGTTTGCAGACAAACACTGTGACACGAGAATTTTATATATTAGATAATCAGTTCATCTAGTCTTTTAAACATAAAACATATGGTTAATTTATAACACCACAGTCACTCACCAATTTGAAGCAGTCAAAGGCATCTACTAGGGAAGAAACATGGGAGATGTAGTTGGAATCCAGTTCCAATGGGTCATCATCAGGTGCAGGTAACGGCAATCTAGAAAGAGCGCCCGCATGTGGCAGTTCCAACCCACGGCAATACTTTACTTCAAAACTGTAGGAAGAATCAAGGCCCATCATTGAAGATGCGCAACGGCGACACAGGGAACTCCCTGCTTATTTCCAAGTATTGTCACGAATGGAGTGTGATCAGTCTGTAACATTTTACTAGATTTATATTAGAATCATCATTGTAGCCTTCTTCTCAATTTGATACTCTCAGTTTGAGGCTAGTTCTACTAACAGAGACATGTGACTGAACCAGTTCCTGTTTTTAGTCAATTCTCGCACCATATTTGTCGTGGCTTGCGTCTTTTCTCATCTTCCAAACAAACAAACCTGCTGCAAATAGCCAAAACGGCATTAGCATCCATTTTAAACACAACTCGACTGTCACAGTGTGAGAGAAGCAAGAGTACTGGGCGGTGGCGGCTTGCATGTTCACGAGGATGCTCGATCGTCTGTGGGAATCACCGTACACGTTTGCAAGCATGCTCAACAGTCTGTTGGAACATGCTCACCCGTGTATGGGGGGCTTGTAGAGCATTTCCTTGAGTAGATAGATAGATAGATTTATTTGATCATTTAACATTATACATAATTTATTTTTCTAAAAAAATACAACCGACTTCAAATGCTCTAAAAAGAATGAAATAATATCAATAAAGTAAACTTTTGTACTAGTCAAGCTCACGTATTTTAAGTCGGCGTGGCTCTATGATGATTTTTGATACAAAATTTAAAGAGGATATCCACATTGAATATGAAAATAAATAATTTTCCTATTCATATAGAACATTTTTGTGTGTTATTTTCACCATGCAATCATTCTGAAGTAAACATAAAATACAAGAAAATACTTCCTTTGATATATATAAACAAAACAGTTCAGTATGTTTTTTTATATATTTATGTTATCCAGCGACAATTTATTGATTTTCAAAATACACTCTCAATATCTTTTATTTTATTCATATTTTTGCAGTTAGAGCCGCGCCGACTTGAACTACGTGAGCTTGACTAATACAAAAGTTTACTTTATTGAAATTATTTCATTCTTTTTAGAGCATTTGAAGTCGGTTGTATTTTTTTTACAAAAATAAATTATTTCATGATTTTTAGTGACTGTATAATTTGTTATATATTAATTACTTGAAGTTTTTTGATAAGCAAAACTGTTTGAAACAATCAAAAGTGCCACAGAATAATCATTATTTTTAAACTGCTTGAGTCACCTGATCAGGTTACATTTAATCAATGGGTATTAAAAATTAACATTTTTGGATAAAAAAAAAAACAATGAGTTCTCCATTACATTAGGCCTAATGAAAAACTAAATGTCTTTCCTAGAGACATGGAAATGCCAGACATCATCGTTTCCTGCAATTGGTGTACTTCTACATTAAAACGACTCGGAAATACAGTAAGGTCCCAAGCCTTTTGGAACAATAAGAAAGTTATTCCTCAGCCACCAGCACTAAAAAATCTCTTAAAAGTAGAAAATTGATTGTTATCACGTACAGTATATTACCTTTGAAAAATACGTATATGATTGGTTCAGCTAAAAGTGGTGTAAGGGGTAGGTGGTTTTGTTTGCTCAAGATGTAGTCGAAATTGCAAATCAGCTTCCCATTTCCGAAGCAGGCATAATAGTATTGACAGTGAAGAATATTAATAAACATTCCACATCTTCAAATGCATGTTTAGTAATTTTAAAATATTTAACACTTTTAAGACGATTGACGATTATGCAATCTCACACCTCTTATGTCGTTTAAGGAATAATTGCATCTAATTTATATTTGGACCTCTTTTACGAATGCTTTGGTTTTCACAATACACCTTAAATTGTCAATATTATACACCTAATCACTATGTTTTTATAAGTCAGAACATTTAATACTCAAAACAGAATCATACAAAAAACAGGTCAAACGTTGAAATACCTTTTTTATAGTAACCAAAACAAAATGCATTTTTTAAATGTAACTTATTTAGGCTCCATGGCAAGAAATAGTTTATTAATCAATATGAAGCAAATGTTTCATGAAGAAACTGTCTGTAGCTTGATTTAAATGGTTTTAACTAACAGCTGTAGGAATGTTATTATTATTTATTGCCTTATCTGGAAAAATAGAAACAAAATAAATGTAGAATATTTAAGGTTTTCTGCATTTTTCACCAAACAAATATTTTTCTTAAACATAATGCTATATATGGTACCAAATAGAAACTCTCCTGGTTATTTTGGTGGTGGAACCACGCTGATCGGTAAAAGAACTACAGAGAAATTGGTGAACATACATAAAAAAAAACATCGCCACAGACAAATTGAGAACCTCCTCCTTTTGTCGGTAGTGGGGAAGTCGGTTAATAAAATACAATAGATCATGTCAATGAATAGTAAGCAAGGTAAACAGAGAGATACATGCAATCAAGCTACATCAATTAAGGTTTACAAGCACGATAAATAAGTACCTAGCCTATAAGATAGATTATAAATAATACAGACAGGCTTACTAAATAATATATGCACTAGTAATTAAGTATTAAATAAGTTAAATCACAGTAGGCGGAATACTTGAAAAAATAATACAGGCAAGCAAGTTCTACTATCAGATAATATAAGTATTCATTATCTTTGTAAGCTGGAAGTTTCAACATATCTCAAAGTGTATTTATAACAGTTCTCAATTTCTTAAGTGAATCACCGAACCATTTTGAACCTCTTCTTTCATTTTACCTTGAACCTTAATGTGTCTTTGGATTCTCAGGGCAGTAGTGATTGTACAAATATATGAGAGGGTGTTGAAAAAAACTCGAAAGAGGCATTTATATCGGTTGTTTTAAACTGTTGTTGCCTGTAAACTTGCATATAACCAAACAGTAGAGCAAAAATCAAAAATTAACCCTTAATGAGAGAACAAAAAACATTTTGTCAACTCTAGTGCTTAACGTTACCAACATGAAATACACATAAAATACAAACCTTAGATTTACAATAGGATGAGAAGTCTACTTATACTATCCAAAGTATAAGTAGAGTTGTAGAGTTAAGTCAATGCTATCACTCTGTAATGTCCAAGGATGCCACATCATAGAATGGGCAAAATGTCTGGTATTATGTCGTAAATAATATCTATAGTGTACATACCAATTTGACATGGCTCTTACCAGTAGACCAAGAATATAGTGATGCCAATGGCCACTTGAGTCTATGAATAAATAGGAAGACGAATTAACTGTCATTAAATTTAACTATTCCAATACCTTTTTTCAGAAACGTTTTGAAGGCACAAGAGTGACTGTGGAGTCTTTTTTGGTGTGGAAGAAAGCATTTGATTTGGAATTTGGGATCGATAACAAGAAAGTTCTGGATGAAAAGAATAAAAAATTAACTGGCAGAGAATTATTTTTATCTGACAAATCACTGAACGAATCAGATCTTAAATTTCTTGAAGTTGAAGGTAAGATAATATTTTAAAGCTTTAAAATAAGTCTTCCTGTGTGAATTCTTATTATACTAAAAACCTTTTTCTAGGAAAATTTTTTTAAAGAGGTTGGCAGCCGCTTTTAACCTTGCATTTGTCCGTCCACATAGACTACAGATCTGTGCAAGGAATGTATCCAGCAAAGCAAGGGGTGAGCAGGTACACTACAAAGGTGAACTGTACTGATAAAATGTTTGCGGTAGTGGCCAGGATCCGAACCCACGACATCGCTGCCTTGGGCCCGTAGTCCGCGATGCTACCAACTGAGCCACCGACTCACCTAATTAATAAATATCAACAGAAATTAGGTGAGGTGAAATTAGCGGGTGATAGCAATTGAGGTCAACTGAAGGTAGCTGTGGTTCAGTTCCATCTAGATGCCCATGGATTTCTGGCTGGACTTTTATAATGTTTGGGCTTTGTTCTGGTGAAGACATTGGGCTGTTTCTAGATTGCTTGTGTATTTGATGGTATTGGCTGGGGAATGTCTGGTTTGTGTGGTGTATATTCAGGGGAGTGTCGCAGTTTTTTAGGCAGGGTTTGTCTGCTTCCCTCTGAGTCAAAACTTTTGAGATACAGCCAGAATTTTTTGACTAGGTTTGTCTGATTCCTTTAAAGTCCTTAGGTGTTAGGTGTGGTTCTCTTGGGGTCGGAGGATGTGGCAGTTTAGTTGGCTGTTCATTCAGTGTGACGTCTGATTGATGCCGGTTTCTTGGTGTTGAGTGTTCATTAGGAGGGAGTTTGAAGTGTTGTGCTAGGTCCTGTGTTCCATATGACTTTATCATTTTTATCCATTTACTAAGGGTGTCACCTGTGAGGGTGTAGTACCTAAAAGCTTTATTGTGCCTCGAGATGGCAACTAAGCAGTGTGGTATGGAGTCATAGATATTGTCTTTTGTCCTGTTTACTCTTACAACTGCTATGTGGGTTGCCTGCTTCACACAGAAAACAATCACAATCAAAAATAATCACAAAGAAATTGGTCAACATCCATAGAAAAAAACATTGCCACAAACAAATTGAGAACCTTCTCCTTTTGTTGGTAGTGGGGAAATCGGTTAAACATACCTACTTTATTTTGGTTACGATTATTAGGAATTCGTAAATAAATAGAAAACACATATTTTTCATAATGTTTTACTGTAGGAAAATAATTAATACAAACAAATTATTAACTATTATAGCTGTGCGATCTCAGGGTCTCGTACAATTACATCATATTTCATTACTGGACTGGCTGAATGATGTATAGTTTTTAAACATGTGTTCATTAATTAATTGTTTATGTTTACCAATTTTGTCAATAGAATGGATTGAGTAAAATAATGTATCTTTTGAGTTGAATCTAATTATTATACAATAAATGGCAACGAGGATGACGGAAATAGGAAATATAAAAAAGTTGAGATCAGTTGCAAAAAGGCAAATTTCCAAAGCCTTTAAACTAATTGTAGGAAATAAATCAACTGATAAAATGACAAGTACAGAGATAGATGTGAGGTTAGACAGTCTAAGATCGTATTGAAAACAATTTGAAGATGCACAAACCAAAATTGAACTAGCCACTGAAGATGAAGAACAAGATGATCTATCCTCGTATAGAAGTGAGACAGAAGAAATGTACATCGATTTAGAAGCAGCTTTGAGACATGAAAAGACACGACACAATAATACAGAGCATACAGCAGCAAATCCACATAACAAGGAACCAAGCACAACATCAAACATTAGTTTTGTTCCATATGATAAAGAAGAATCTTTTAGGAATTTCATTAAAAGATTTGAAAATTTCCTTGTACTTAAAGATGTAAATGAAGAGAAAACAAAGCTTTGTAGTTTACTACATGCACTTTCACCTAAACTACATGAACGACTTCTAGACATAGTTGCCCCTGATGACCCTTACAAGATGAACTATGAAAATGTAATTTCTATTTTGAAAGAACATTTAGGACCATTACCAAGTGTATTAACATTACAACATCGTTTTGTGTGTAGAGTACAACAACCGAATGAGTCAATCATTGAATTTTGCTATGGAATTAAAGAAACTGTCCAAAGATTGTCAGTTTAACTGTGATTGTGGAAAGTCAGTAACTGATATGTTATTACGCATGCAATTGGTAAGAGGACTTCACGACCATGATATCAAAGGACTTTTACAGAGGAAAATTGTAACTACTTTTAAGGAAGCACTTGAACTTGCAACATCACTGGAAGCTTCGAGAACTGAAAGCAACATGATGACTGCTCAAACAGCACCGTTCCAGTGCTCAAGGTTGTAGAAAATCAGACAAGAAAATTGGACAGATACTCTGGGAGGAAGAACACTGTACAGGCAACAAATGAAGACCAATATTCTCCTTCCCTTAAGTTTTCAGGTCTGCAAGGATGGTGTTATTGGTGTGGAGATAAATACCATAGAGCAAATACATGCAAGTTTAGAAATGAATTTTGCAACAAATGTAACAAAGTAGGATATATTGCAAAAGTATGTATAGGAGGACCAAGAAAACAACCAATCGACCAAATAGACGACAGAGAGAATGAAAAACAGATAGATCATACTACCTATAATTCTTATAAACTTCAAGTAAATAACAGTGATAAGTTCATTATGAAAATAGAAGTTGAAGGAAAACCATTATCTGTGGGACTTGATACAGGAGCAGCGCTATCTTCAATCTAATTTCAGGACTATAAGAGATTAGATATCAATAAGAGAATGTTCAAATCACATGTACAGCTTCGCACATATACAGATGAAATCATACAAACTAAGGGCGTAGTATAAAAAATGTTAGGTTCCAATACAAAGAAAATATATATTTTGGAAAACTATATATTATCGACCAAGATGTTGAACCAATTTTTGGTAGAGACTGGATAAGAGAAGTTAATTTAGAAATTGGTGATATTAGAATGTTGAATCAAAACTCATCTGAGTTGACACAGGCTCTTGACAGTTATTCGGATATATTCAGTAAGGAAATTGGTTGCATTCCAAATGAAAAAGGACACCTGAATGTAAAAGAAGGCTGTGGTCCAATATTTGTGAAGCCGAGGCAAGTGCCCTATGCTATTAAACAAAAGGTGGAAGAAGAACTCGATCGACTGGAACAAGCTGGTATTATTACAAAGGTCAAAAACTCTGAATGGGGCATGCCAATTGTAATTGTGCTAGTAGTAAAACCTAATGGTTCGGAACAAATATGTGCAGATTACAAGACTACATTGAATAAAGTTATCCGTGATGAGAAATTTCCAATACAAAGAATTGAGGACATCTTTGCAGAGATGGATGGAGGTAAATTTTTCTATACACTCGATGTTAGTAATGCTTACTTATGCTTACTTTGTTTATGCCAATGGACTCTGGAAGTGCTATGCTACAAACAATAAGCACTCAGAAAGGCTTATATAAAGTAAACAGGTTTATGTTTGGAGTGAAAGTAGCACCAGCACTGTGGCAAAGATTCATGGATAAGGTACTGCAAGGAACTGATGGAGTTAAGTGCTTTTTCGATGATATAATCATTCAAGGTACATATTACAAGGGTACACTAGAGAGATTAAAAACTGTCCCAGAAAAACTTAGAGCACATAGCTTGAAATTAAATTTTGACAAATGTAGATTCTTTCAACAAAGAATAACATACTTGGGACATACGATTGATGAGAACGGGCTGAAGAAAAACTCAGAAAAGGTTGAAGCAATTATAGAGGCAGAAAAACCTAGAAATGTGAATCAACTACGATCTTTCATTGGCATGGCCAATTACTACAACAAATTTATACCAAGACTGGCCGAAAAACTATATCCATTGAATAAGTTGCTACAAAAAGGACAGCGATTTGAATGGTCACAAGAATGTGAAAACAGCTTTATCAATGTTAAAAAGCACATAGCTAATGACAACACTCTAGCACACTACAATCCAAAACTTCCTCTAAAACTCTCAACTGTTGCATCTCCTTATGGTTTGGGAGCAGTAATCTCCCACAAGTTTCCTGATGGATCGGAACAACCCATAGATTTTGCTTCGCGATCTTTGTCAAAAAGTGAAAAACAGTATATACAAATAGACAAAGAAGCAATTTACTGGGGAGTGAAGAAATTCTTTGCTTATTGCTATGGGCGAAAGTTTGTTCTTCAGACGGACCACAAACCTCTTGTTTCCATATTCCATCCATCAAAATGTTTACCGGCAATGTCAGCTACTCGATTATTGAACTACTCACTTTTCCTTGCTGGGTTTGATTACACAATTGAGTATAGAAGAACTTCAGACCACTGTGTTACTGATATAGAGAACTTGGTTAATAACTGTGACAAATGCAAACAGAAAAGAAATGAACCGTCTAAATTAAACCACCACCCTTGGGAAGAACCTACAGCTCCGTGGCATCGCTTACATTTGGATTTTTGTGGACCCGTAAATGGAAATTATTTTTTCATAATCATTGACGCCCATACAAAATGGTTGGAGATTATACATACAAAAAACACTTCTTCAGATTGGTGCATTCAAAATTTAAGTCACTTATTCACAACTTTTGGACTGCCAGTAATGATAGTAACAGACAACGGCTCCCAATTTACAAGTGCACTTTTTCAAAGGTTTTTAAGCAATAATGGAATTTGCCATAGGACTTGTGCACCTTTTCACCCTTCAAGCAATGGCCAAGCAGAACGATTCGTTAAGAAATCATTGGCTGCCATGAGCGAAGAAAAGGGAGACTTGCAGCATCAAATAGATCTTCTTGTAACTCAGTTACGCAAAGCTCCAGACTCTACAGGACTCTCAGCTTACAATGTGTTAATGTTTGGGAGAGATATAAGAACGAAACTTAATGTTATGGCAGATAAAGTAGAACGGAATAAAAAGACTACGTCGGAACATAAGCTGAAAAGAAATTTTCAGGTGGGGCAGAGAGTACTGGTGAGAAATTATTCTTAAAAAAAAAGTGGAAGG